TACCACGCTGTGTACGCTTCCAATTTCGTCCTTGACTTCTTTCATGATCTCCAGGTTACGTTCATTCAAGCGATGAAGGTAAGGGAGACTAAGCACGTCTTGGTGGCCGGTGACGTTCAGAAGGGGAGATGCCGCGATGCCGTGATTAGATTCGTTCTGTGAACCCAAGTCTCAGTACCGTTGTCAGTGCAAACTTTAGCAGGCAAGTTATTGATGATTAGAATTCCGTCATCGACCCATGTGATCGGGTCTAAGTGACTCGGCTGTATTTGACAGTTTGCCAAGCCACCAGCATGCAGTTCTCTGGCACAAGAGCTGGTCGGTGAAAGTTAACAAAATCGAAATTGCATTTCTCCCAGATCAGAAATTGGCTGTCAACAATGGGTGTTGGCGTCTGAGTAATTGCAAAAAATAGAAATAGCAGAAGCCCGAACCTGCGGAACCAAGACAAAACGGACCGAACTATTACTACGTGTCTTTCTAAAGGTAATGCCAAGTGGCGTAAATATTAAAACTTAAAGGTGAAGTCTAGTGGCTCAAATGTTGATTCTTATAGTTAAATTCAAGATGCATAGAATCGAACTTTTATTTGAGCTCTTCCCCTACTTTACGTTGTCCCTGTGGACCACTCTCTCTCCAATGAAAACGGTCGTGCCAAGTTCTGCCTCTACGACCCGTTCTTCATATAAGGGCTTGAGTTTATTGTCAAGCCTGCGGTTTATTTTTACTAGGACTTTTTCAGTTTCGCCTGAGGGCACATGGAGGGCATCAACAGGTCTCTTGTTGATGACCGAATGTATTGTCTTGTTATAATGAATCGTGGCTAGCATTATGACTTCGACTGAGTCACTGATGTTTCTCTCCAGCTTGAGGCAACGTGCAAGCTAGGCTAAAGTGCTATGGAACTCCGTAGTTGTTTGACAACAGGGTATTTATCGTTTTAGAATTCATCGAAGGCTCGTTGTCGCAATAAATTTCTCTGCCTCGTGGAAAGAAATTCATGAGCTGAAGCAGTGGAGCTTTTAAGTCCCCGATAGTGCGCGACTGAATTGGTTGTACGACTGCAAATTTAGAGAACTTATCAACACAGGTCAAAAAAAATGTATTGTCCGTGGAAAAAATATCAATGTGTAGAAATTCACCAGGAGACTCAGGAATCGGAGTTTTTCCCAGCTCCTGTCTTTTCGGGTGCCTATCGTATTTGGCTATTTGAGCGGATTCTACAACTTTCCGCAAGTTCCTTAGCCAACTGTGCCATTTTAGGGAAATAGTATTCTGATAACACTTGCTTAACAGTTTCTTGAGCTGCTCTGTGTGCTTTATTATGTTCGTCAACGGGAATTTCTCTCCTCTCATCATCGTGGAAGACATCTGCAACTCGGTTTTTGCAGCGCCAGAACTCTATGCCTGGAAACATGCGAACTACGCCATCCTGTGCTAGTGTGTGCAGGTTGCATTAACTGCAATTGGGATAATCAAGTCAAGGAGTTCATTTAGAAGGGCTGTGCGATCAGTGAAGCTCATTTCATGACGCCTCTTGTCCCCGAAAAGAATGAAGTTGGGTTTGGTGGAAACGTGTGCCTCTTCAATGACAACTTGATTTTAGAAACAATTAAGTGGCTTTTCAATTGTATAGGTCAACAGCAGCTCGCTGTGGACTGTGGCTGCGCAGTTATCAGTATTCAGCTTGTCAAGAGCAACATAATTCTCCTCGCCTGGCTTATAAAATATTCGCGCATTCGTTTCCTCGATTCGCGCCTTCCATCTTTTAATTTTGGCGTTCGGGTTTGACTCAGAAACGGCAAAAGTTAACGGTAGTGACGTAACCTGCTAAGGCCTAAGGGCGAACTATAGCCAAAAGTTCCCGCTCGTTGGTGGGGTAGTTAACTGGTGTAGTTCACCGTAGTTCAATGTTCTGGAAATCATTGAGATGTGGCGACCCTCTTGAGAAAGCTCTGCCCCTATGCCGTAAGTTGAAGCATCTGTCGTTATATCAATCGGCTTTTTAAACTCGGGGTATCTGAGCATGACTTTATCTGATGACAAGATGTTGCGTAACTTTTGGAATGCGTGACGCTGTAGCTCAGAGAGTTCTACCGGGATGTTTCTCCATCTATGTTTACTTCCTGACCCATTCTCGCCCTTAGAAGATGAGAAATGGGTTTTGCTATTGAGGCAAAGTCTTTGATAAAACATCTATAGTAACTGGCCAGTCCTAAAGATGATCTGATCTCGAATATATTCTTTGGTTGTGGGAACTCCTGAATCGCTTTGACTTTTTCAGGGTCCGTAGTAGCTCCATTACTGGTTACCACGAAACCAAGAAAACCTACGCTTTTCTTAAAAAACGAGATTTTTTCTTGGAGATTCTCATATTTGCCTCATACAGGCCCTTTAAGATGACATCTTCAACATAGACATAGCAAGATTTGCCAAAATTGCTCCCACAGTACGTCGTCAACAGTTCTTTGGAAGATGCTGGGCGTGTTCTTCAACCTAAAGGGAAGTCGACAAAATTTGTAAAGGCTTTTTTTTCACGGTCACACTCTGCTAGCGTGATCTGGCGATAGCCGGATTTTAGGTCCAATATCGAAAAGTATTTAGCTTTGCCAAGATTCCCCAAAATCATTGGAATGTTAGGCATAGGGTATCTGTCTGCGATGGTTTTCTCGTAAAGTTTTCGAAAATCCATTACGAGGCGCATATTCTTGTTACCAAACTCGTCCGTCCCCTTCTTGTCCACCACCCAAATGGGGTTGTTGTAGGGGGAAACAGATTTTTGATACCGTTCTTCAGAAGGCTTTGAATCTCTTTATTAACGAATTCCGCTGCTCCTACGGGATAGGGGTACAGTCGGACATAAACTGGTTGTTCATAAGTGGTCCTGATAGTAGCCACCACTGATGTGTCTTTTGCAGCATCGGGCTCGTCGGCGCAGTCAACATTGGTAAAGTTAACATCCGCGCACCTGTGGAATTCGATTTGTTCAGTTTCTGCGCCACATTTGAGTTGGCCAGAAGAAAGACAAAGCGATATTCCTGCTTGCGTGAGCAAAACAAGCCCCACAATTCGATCAAATGTGGACAGGTCTGTGAGTAAGAAAAATGTGGTAGTTTTGCCGTACAGAGATATAAGGCACCTATGAGTAAGCTTGATGGTGCCGTGTGAAGGCAGTGAAGGAAGAATTTACTGGGCACACACCTTTTAGATTTTTATGTGGCCTGATATAATTCTGGGAAGCGCCCGTGTCGATGAGACATCTCATCTACGCTCTGATGAAGGGCAGCAGGGAGCTTCCCCTAAAAAATTCTCTGTTCGCATAAACGCCCAGACGTGGCCGTTCTTTTATTGGATTGAGAAGCGCTAGAGTTAACGTAGTCTGGTGCCTGCGATGGTAGTAGAATCTTTGACAGAAATGGATCGACGTCCATTGGTTCCAGTGACCTTTGTTCCACCTGCCACTCTATTGTTCAAATTGACTTTGTTGCTGTTTATGTTGTTTGGTGAAGTGAGGATTCTTGGAACCGCTGGGTCGCGGATCCCCCTGCTGTTGATTCCTGTCTTACTGACGAACCTGCATCCTCGGGGTCACTATTCGTTCCCCATCTTCTTGCCCTTTAGCGAAGCTAGCGGCAAAGGCGTACCGCTCATGGTTTGCCTCTACCTCTTGCGCTAGAGCTAGGGCCATCGGTAAGTCCTTAGGCTTTGCCGCGATCAGGACATCCGTCAGGCTACGGTTTAGGCATGAGACAAAAACACGCAACGCATCATCTCTGAACTTCGTACAGAGCCCTTGTGCCATGCTTGGTTCATAGGACATGTTGACCTTGTAGGTTCTAATATCCTTGCGTTCATCCATAAAGACAGACAGACGGACGGACGGACAGAAGTACAGACAGACGGACATGGCTAGATCGACTCGGCTGTTGATGCTGATCAAGAATATATATACTAAATGTGGTTAGAGATGCTTCCTTCTGCCTGTTATATACATTTGTAAAATACCCTTTTTAGACATTTCCAATGGGTTCAAGGTATAAAAGCAATATTAGACGTACAAAACGCCTGTCATCTCTGATACCCATTCATCACTAGGGTACTAATAAAACACGCTCATGATGCCTGCGACTTGGCAATCGTTGAACAGGATCGCGAAATCTGCACTGGCAACCAGTTGTAAACTACGTATTTGGTGGAATTATAAAAAAATCTGACTTCTGTGATTTCCAAAGGCACATGGTACAGAAAAATTGATTGTATCGTATAAACATTATTCGTCAATCGGATTGGATTTTCGGGAACTTTTAGAGCTGAAAAAAATAAGGTCATTCTAGTGCCCCTGCAGTACGAGTTTTTTTTTTTGCTTATCTTCTGGGCATTGTGAAAATCAATCAAATGTTGTATAATTGAGCTTTTAGATCGGCCTCACCCTCTTCTAATGGGCGAATGTATTGTTCTGCCAAACATGTATTCAATTGGAACCGAAGGTATCCGAGTCTAGCCCAATTGCATTCAATTTGAAGGGCACCAGACAACGCTTTGTTTCGGTCCGCTTTATGTCACATATGTGGCGTACTCGAGTACCATGATAGCCACGTTACCACGTTAAGCACTTGTAGATTTTCTGTACCTTCCAACTTGACCGGAGCCACAGCAAACTCATCATTAATTTATTAGGATGGCCTAGCGAGATTGCCATCTCAATGGGTTGCGCACTTGAAATAGTTTCATTAACTTTGGGCTTGGATAATTTTGTAAACGCATTGGCTGAATGATCGCTATCACAGGCTGAGCATACAAGTTGACCGTTATCTTATAGCTAGTTTAGTAATAAGTTTATATAAATATAATTATTAATTAAAAATAAATTTTTATGGAGCAAACTAACTTGTTGAAAATAGCTAAGAGCTTTAAAATATTCATTTTCATTTAATTTTCAATTCAAGCTATAAATTATGTTGGTGCTAGTAAACTTAGTAATTACTTATGACTTTTTACAGAATTACTTGTTATTCAAATTCAAGTAGCACCTGAAATTTCAAAATGGTTTGGATCAACTTGTATAGGAAAGATTTATGAAAGTTTATGGCTTTTGGAAAAACATACAACTACTTGCTGTAAGATTTCAGCATTAAAAGCCGTAAAACAATGTTTAAAATATTACCCTGGACCTAGTAAGTCGGGAAAGCTTCTAGTCTTGCGATACCTTCAAACATTAGTTGATTGCTGTAACCCAGAAGTGGTTCATGAAAGTGGTAATTGCTGGTTGCTATTACAACAAATACGCGGTAATTTTAACAACGTTGGATGTAACACCGATAAGTGTCAATGGGAAGATTTACAAATAGGTTTATTGGGCAGTATTAATGACCTATTAAACGAAGTATTTCCCAATAATAAAGATGATAAGGTCGCTACAAAAGACAGATTGGAATGTTTTACTTTGGTATTAGATGAAGATCCAATTAAAAGATCAACTCAAGTATGCAGGCGCTTCTGCAATCTCATAGATTTCCTTAAGATTGCTCTAAGGTGAGTGGATTCATATAGATTTAATTTTCTGTTATTATATTTAAAATACTTTTAACAGCCAGCCATATTCTTCAACAAAATTAATATATCCAAAAAAAATCATAAATCTTATTCAACATGGACTAGGATCAAGCTATGCAAATTGTGTAAACTATGAAAATATGGATGGTATGTGTTTTGGAAACCTTATACCTCAAATGCATACTAAATTATTCGAACTACTGGAAGTTTTGATTAACATGTAAGTAATAGAATATTTAAAAATAAATTAAGAATAGTTCTTACAAATTGGAATATCTAAGTTTAAAGTGCTGTTATTTATAGGAAATATATATAATAAAATACAATTTTTATTTATATTTGATAGACATTTTTAAACCCATTTTGAAGATTTTTTAATTGTGCACGATTATTTATTATTTATTATTAATGGTTGACAAAACGAGTATCTTTCTTATTATTACATAGATTATACATACAATAGATAAAGTCATTATATGCTAAAAGCCTAGTGAGAGAACACAATTTTCTTAATAGTATCACCGAACGATGGGGATGTTTTAATTGCCAGTCCGACCATGTCTGCCCCTTTTCACAGCTAATTTTGTCAGTGACACTATTAGAGCCTGCAGCTAAGAAGGGTATAAGTAGGAAAAAAGTGCCCTTAAGTAACATTAAAAATAATCTTAGTTTGCTATATTAATTAAGAAAATACAATAAATAGGAAAAAACTAAGTTAGAAGGTTGTTAGTAAAGTACAAAAATGTAAGTTAGTTATAAAGTGTTAAGTAGATCGGACAAAGCGAAAAGTAATAGGAAATCACTGTCCCGGTGGGAGAAAATTTACAGCCCATCCGGCAAGCTCCCTGCTCATAGCTGGAAATGGTCAGTGACTTCGCGAAAGTATCCTGAAAGCAACGATTATATTAGGGGTAGAGAAAGCTCGGTGGAGAAAACGTGATGCAAACTATTATCATTTTTGCATAGCACGCGAAAAGGGTTGTGCATAGCGTAGTCTGCGCATAGGAATAAGGGGCCATTATTTTTGGTTGGTCTAGCCGGAACACGATTATGACTCAGTTGATATAAATACAGCCATTAATTTTTTTATATCACCCTAAACTCCCTCTTAGATGTGTGTATTCCTAAGTCAATTCCTTCGACTACTTTTTCAAAACCACCCTGGTTTACTCCCAGATTATCACATCTAAAAAATGTAAAATCCAAATATTTTAAAAAATTTAAAAAGTCTGGTTCGTCTACAGACTTGGCTAAATATTCCATAGCCAAGTCGAACTTCTTTCTTTTTAATTCTCAATGCTATGAGAATTATCTAATTCGTTGTAAAAGGCAATTCGCCCGAAATCCGAGGCAGTTTTATAATTTTGTAAACTTGAAGCGTAAATCTTCAAGTTTGCCATCTTCTTTTTTTCTTGGGATGGATAAAGCTAGCAATGACACTGATTCTGCTAACCTCTTTGCTAATTTTTTCCAATCAACTTACTCTTCAGTCTGTCCTAATACTAATTCTTACCCTTATACTATTTCTTCCGCTAGTTCTATACCTCCCCCCATTGTTTCACACTCAATCTATATCTATAATCAACTTATGTAGAACAACAACACCGAGAATCGTCCTACGGTTGGTTAACGACGAAAGATTAAGAAAAAACAGCTTGCTGGAGTAGGATGGCAATCGAAGATTAGGGTCCCAATTTAAACCTCGTAAGGGAAAAAGTAGAAATTGCTTATAAACAGATTCAATACGATCATGGCTATTGTTATACTGCGGAGCCTAGATACAAGAGCAGTATTCAAGGATATAGCGAACAAAAGAGATGTACAGAAGTTTCGTTATGAAAGGATCTTTAAACTTTTTATACTATCGTTTAATGAATCCAAATAGACCTTCTGCCTAATTAACGATGGTATCTACGTGAAGATTGAAACAGAGCTTAGAATCAAAAATAACGCCTAGATCCTTAACTGTTAGTATACGTTGCAAATTAATATTGTCGATTGTATAACTGACAAGATAAGGTGTAGTACGATTAAATGTCATAAACATACACTTTGAACAATATAGATGCAATTGATTGGCCGAACATCAAAGTTACATAGCGTTCAAATCGTCTTGTAGACGAGAATGTTGTAGGGGATTAGTGTATAATAGAATAAGTTTCGCATCGTTCACATACACGAATTCTTGGGTATGTGATATAACAGAGGGGAGATCATTTATTAAAAGAGCAAAGAGTAAAGGTCCAAGATGACCACCTTGAGGAACCAGAAGTAACGTGAACCTGTTTAGAGGTAGCCAGCCTCAGCAATACTCCTTGGGTCCTACCTCTTAAATGAGAATTAATCCAAAGCAAAGAGACGGAGGGAAACCTAGTCGGTAAGTTTAAAAAGTAAAATGTCATGGTGCACAGAGTCAAACGCCTTACTGAAGTCAGTGTAAATGACATCAGCTTACATTATCGAAAGGAAAGCATAATTTACCAGGAAGTAGCCTTAAGCAGATTGGTCGTAGTTGACCATATCTTTACGAATCCATGTTGAACAGGGGAAAGAACTGATTTGCAGTAATGCTGCAACGGCTACTTTTGTTGAGTACATTCAGATTTGCTTCCCGAATATGAACTGATTTATCTAACTGTTGCGGTCGCTTAGCAAACTTCGCTTTGAGAGAGTTTGAGTCAAAATTGAGTGAAGTTTGAGCTGCGTCAGCAATTATGTGTGGGATGGTGCTCTGATGGGAACATTGACAGTGGCGTGATATTTAGGGTAAATTGTTTATGTCTACCAAAGGGGGACAGTTTGATCTTGACCAATGTCGATGTTATCACCAGGCTCTTTGTTTACAATATTAGAAATGTTTATACTTGTGCTTATGCTTATATGCTAAGTTATGTTAAAGGGTGGGTGCGACTATGGAGATGTCACTCCCCCAACCATTAGAAAATTGCCTGTCCTCAGGTGTTTAAGTTTGGATATAGTGTAACATTTTCTTCATTTACAATTGGTGTATCTCCTATTATTGTAGGTGTTTCTTCTACTTTGGGTTTTTTATATTTTTTAATTCAGTTCTTAGGTATGCTTTTGAACTTATATGTCAAATACAGTGTTAAACTTATTAATATGATTACAAATATGGTTATTGTAATTATCTGGAATACATTGTTAAATTGTGTATGTTAATTTATAATTTGTTTCGTTTGTGCAAACGAAAGTGGTTCTAATTTGATAACATCATTGCTTACGTAAATGCTTTGAGTATAATCTAACATATTGCTTGAAATTGAAATTTCATTAATTTGCAGTGAACAATTAAAGATTTTTATTATATTGTTTCCTTCTATTGTTATTTCGTTATTTTTACAATTATGATTTAATATAGTTTTTGGTAAATTCCAAGTTAAAATTATATTTGGTTCTACGTAGTTGATTTAAAAATTTTGCAAAATTTTAGTATAACTACATTCTGGTGTTATTTGGTTTAAAATTCATGTCAAATATTCATTATTAATTAATTTTTTTGTTTCTTTGCTCTAAACTTTTTTTTCTTGGGTAAAATATTTTTCATGAGCTATTTCTCTCAAAATGTTATTATTATCATCCGGGTATGGAATTATTTCGAATACCGGGCTTTTTATTATTTCTCGAGGAATATGGGATATTATCAGTATTTCGCTTGTATCTGATTTAAACCAAGTGGAAGTTTTTGTTCGTTCATGATTTCTATTCCTTTGTTTATAGCTTCCATTATGTAATTTAATTCGTTAACCTGAACGCTGTTTTTTGCTAAGTTGCTTATTTTTTGTTCAATTTCTGTTTTGTCTTCTTGATCTAATGTTCCAAATAAGTATTTATATACTGTTCCTACTATGTTAACTAAACCTCTTTTACCGCGTTTGGCTATTTTTCCGCCGTTTATTTCTCTGTTTAATTTTTCTACTAGGTATTCGATTTGTATAAGGTTATTGAATTCTTTACTTTGTTCAATTAAATTGTTAAAAGTTTATTCGGTTTTTGTTATATTAACCGGTAAATTTCAATACTTTGTGAATTTATATGGTTTACTGTCATTGATAGTAATATTATAATAATTAATTTAAGCTGGTGCTTGTATGTTTTTATCGCTGTCTGTTGTTGACCTGTAATTGTTATATTTGCTTTGATTAGTCTTCTTTTTCTTTTTGAATTTGGTTTTGTAATGTGTTATCTTCCTGCCTCAAAATGTTTGTCGTCGATTTGTCTTATTTCTCCTGTTTTCTTGAACGGGGTTGTCGTTTTTGATTTAACTAATGGTGATTGTTTGTATCTAGTGTCAATTTCATAATTTGTTCGTTTTTTGTTGAGGTTATTTATTAGTTTTTCTTAATTAGCTTGAGTGTCATACTCTGGTGTACCTGCGTATATGAATATGTCCGCTGGTGTTCTGTTAGTCGTTTTGTGCTTTGTTTTATGATTGTACGTGTAGAGTATAGTTTCAAAATTTGTAAGTTTATTTTCGACATCTGAGTCGCTGTTAATGATTCTTAATTTTTCGTTAACTGTCTTATGAAATCGTTCTAAGTCGGATATACCATTTTTACTAGTGGTTATATTAATATTTACTGCTTCTGATTTAAGCCATAATTGTAAAGCTGTGCACATAAAGCTCAGTCTTTGTCTGCTTTTATTTCGATGGGTTTACCCATTTGGTTGAACACTTGTAATATAGCTCGTTTGGTTTCTAACCAGTCTCTACTTGTAAAAATCCTATCCTACTATGTAAAAATCCAGTACATATTTTTCTCGGATATTAGCGATTTCCGGAGTTATTTCGAAAGTTAATTTTGTATCCCTGTGTTCTGTTTTTGCCATGTTGCAAGTCTCACATTTATTTATTAGATTTTGAATTAAATTTTTATAATCTGGGAAATAGTGGGTTTCTTTGAACCAATTGAGAGTTTTTTCAATTCCTGGATGTAATAATTCTTTGTGTTTTTTTAATATTAGTTCTTTGAATTCTGCGTATGTTTGAAGGTCTATTAATTTTTTACTAGTTTTCATTGCCTTTGTTGAATTATTCGGACTTATTATTTCTAAGTAGGCTTCTTGAAAAATTGGAAAATCTGCTTCGTTGTGGAAGTATAGCACACTTTTCTTTGTGCATAAGAATTCTTTTATTAATTCTTTGGCATGCACGTTAGTCATGTCTTTGTACGTAATTTTTATGTTGGTTTTGTGAAAGTA